CACTTTTATTTTATAAAAAGACACAGGGAAAAGATTCATAGTATGGATGTCTTCTTGCAATTTTTAGAGCCTTCAACATAGACACTTTGGGTAGAAGAACTTTCCTGATGCCCTTTAAAGACCTGCTTACAGAGAGGCAGCTAATTACTCATCAGGCCAGTCTTGGTGCACCTTTGGGTTGCTGATTGGGCAATAGAATAATTATAGGTCTAAAAAAGAATTGGATTCTGCAGCTAAATGATTTATTTATTTTTTCGGCAGCACATATTGTTCATATAGTCTTGTCATCGTCTTAATAGAACAGGGTCTATACTCAAGTAAACACTTGAAGAGAAATTTTGTTCCGTTAATGTGAAAGGTGGTATATTTTCCATTTCTCCTTGTAAAAAATTGTTTATTTAAAACAAATTATCACAGCAAAGGAAATAAAAATTGGGATAATATAATTCAAAGGCAATCAACACAACATATAGATGTTTCTGCTTTTATGTGACATGTCTCTGAAAAACTTCACATTCAGCGAAAAGGGCACTAAATGACAGACTCATAGGGCAAATAGAGGACAAGGCATTCAAAAATTTTTAGAACAGTAGCCACAGCTCTAATAAAAACTGTTATTAGTACCTCTAAAGATGGTGTGACTCCTCTGGCAAGTGGCTCCTTTGTGGCTGAAGGTTGCTACAGTAGGCATTTAAAATTCTCAGAAACGATGGAGGCCATGTGCTGGCAACCCTTTCACTGGAGCTGGACAGGTAGAAGTAAGGTGAACACATGAGACAGTGCCATTCGTCTGACTGTCCCTCTCTGGGGAAGAATCCTGTGTGTAAGTGCTAATACTTAAATTTGTTTATATTTATTTCTCTTATGATAATAACAAGGAAATCCTGCTAACAGTGCAACAGCAAAGCTGATAATTTTTTTCTTTCCTCATGAAGTTTATACTTCGATTCTACTCTCCCCCTCCCCCTGACTGGGAAAAAATCATGTATAAATTGTATTTACATCATCTTTTTACCAATAGTGTACAAGTGATACTGTACAAAAACGTGTGTAGCAGCCGAACAGACTGTTGTTTAAAATAACTTATCCTAATTATAAATGTAATTCACCCTTGTAAGGAATTTGGAAAATATAGAAAAGCATACAAAATAAAATTCACATCAGCTTATAAGAAATCTACTGTTAAAAACACTATGATCTGAGAGCATTTGAGATTTTGCTCCTGGCATTATCGCCAGTTTGGCTCAAATAAACTCATAAAAATTCTCAAAAAAAAAACAACAAAACTATTCCATCTGGTCTTTTGTATATACATATTTGTTATAAAATTAGGTTACACTGTGGATATAAATTTATATCCTTTGTATTAATATTGTGCATATTTTTCTACTTTATTACATAGATATCAAAAATTCGAACCATAATTTATTTAATAAAACCTCTGCTTTTGGATAATGAGGTTGTTTCACATGTGGTAATAAACACCCTTATAAATAAAAGATTATTTATATCTTTGATTAACTCCTTAGGCTAGGTTGCTAAGGAGGAAATTCTGGGTGTTTTAATCCACAGGGCTACTATAACAAAGATACCATAGATTGGGTGGCTTAAACAATAAACATTTATTTCTCACAGTTTTGGAGCTTGGGAAATGCAAGATCAACGTGCCAGCAGATTGAGTGTTCGATGAGAGCTCCCCTTCTGGTTCACAACCAGCCATCTTCTGGATGTATCCTCACATGGTGGAAGGGTGGAGGGAGCTCTCTAAGGTGCCTTTTATAAGGGTACTAATTCTATTTATGAGGGTTCCACCCTCATGACCTAATCACTTCCTAAATGTCCCACCTCCTAATACCATCATGCTGAGGATTAAGTTTCAACATATGAATTTGGGGGGAGGACAGTATTCAGTTCATAGCACTGAGTCAACAGGTACAGATATGTCTTTTAAAAAATAATCTGATAATGGTAACTTTTTTTTTGGTGGTTTTTAAACATAAACCCTTAATGCAAGAAGAAAAATTGCCAACAGTAATCTTGGTATTGTGGCCATTCTTTATTATAGGGATGTCATTTATTAAAATGGCAACATACTAGCAAGTCTCTTGCTCACAACTATGTTATAAGTGTCTCATTCAGCACATCCTGAATTAGCAGATCTGGTATGTAGAGTATCTATATTATGTATCAAGTTAAATCAAACATCAAAAATCAATGTCAGGCTTGTCTCTTTAATGTAGCCTAATTCTTCTCTATATATTTGCTACCCTTCTTTTCTCCTGTTCTATGTCTCTCCCTTGCTGTCTCGTCTTTGGCTCACAACTTCATCCAGTAGTGACTCCACTTTATAGTTAACACTAACCCTGCCCATAGTTCAAGTAGCTCTATGACATCAAAGCTTCCTGTGGGACATCTGATCTGAGGCAGTTTGAGAGAGGGGAGAATTCACAGTTCTCTAGGACCTACCATTCTAATTCTGAGGTCTTTTGAGCATAAATATGTCCAGAATGGTTGTTAACTAGTGTGGTCTTTGGAAGTAGAAATAACTGGATTTGATTTCCAGTTCTGCCTTCTTGGGTAAGGAAATGCTTGGTGTCAGGAGCTCATTGTGGTTGTGTTATATATAGTAGCAGCAGTAGCAATTGGGTACATTCAAACATTTGCTGCTGTTTAGTTTTAAAAGATAATATGAAGCGTAACTGCTTTTTGAGAAGGAATGTAAAGAAGAATTTGGCTGGGTCATGTCTCAAATGAAGTGAAAATAAACTGTAGTATTCAGTCCAGAGGATTTATTTCTCTCCATTGCAGTTTCTAAATAAACTAAAGAGAGTTCTGAAGAAACTGCTTCTGTCAGATCTTTGGACATTTATGGGGAAAACCAAGCAAGTCCATAAAATAGCATCAGATATATAGGTACTAAAGATCTTTCAAGCAACTGTTAAATCAGTGTCATGGTGACTTCACTAAAGACAAAAAAGGCTACTTCCAGTTCTTCGATTTATTATTTTAAAAAAGTTAACACTACCTCCAAAGCTGACTCTCTTCCTCTCTCTTCAGCCAGCGTACATCCCAAGGAAGGTGATCCCAATAACAATCATCAAACAAGGTAATTTGTATGAGCCTGCTCTGGATATGTGTTTAGAACTTTTAAACTGAAATAATTAAACATAGCATGTATTTTCTCTATTTGTATGATTATTGTTTTTCAGAAATAGTTTAAAGAAACCAGTATGGTCTAGTAAGTTAGAAGTTAATAGGTATTTTGATTCTTGTACCAATAAGTCAAATCTTGTCAAGTTGCATTGGTTGGACAACTAGGGACAAAGCAATTGTAAGAAATACTTAATTGTAAAAAGCCAGTTAAATATGTGTGGCTTTGTTCAGGGTTAAGTTAGCATACATTAAGAAAGTCATTAATGGATATTTTGATTAATGAAATGAAAGCTATGATTTAGTGGTCACTTTAGGGAAAGTAAAGACATCCAGGTTTCAAGAATTATAATGTCTTATTTCATTTCAGCATCCAGTTGTTTTTGTTTTGACTGTTTTTTCAAATTATCAGACACATTTTATTATTTTCAGAGTTTCTTGGTAGAGAGGATTGGGCCCTTAAGGTAGTTCTTCATTTTAAGAAAACACAATGTTCCAAGTATACTCTCAAAACAGGGTCAATTAGTATTAGAATCATCCAAAGATGGCTTTGCTTTGAGAATATACATTTTCTAATTTTTTATTTATTAGGTCGTTTTCTCATTTTGTTCGTTAATGTAGGTAGGCTGCAGGGAGTGTAAATGAGGGAAAAAAATTTCAGCTCGTTGGAATGGAACACTTTATGATAGAGTAATAGACTTTCCTTACTTACAGGCAGAGGCATCAAGGTAAAATGTGTTTCCTAGTTCCTTCATTGGCTGTGTAGCCAGCCCAATGGGTTTCTTTCTATAAACTGAAAAGTTAGGTCCGGGTTTCCTCAGTGTAGATGTCTTCACATTATTAGATTCTTACTGCTTCCTATTTTTTTCCATCACACAATTGTATTTTTATATTTCAACAGTGATTCAGAACATTACTCACAGGGCTTCAACTAAATCTCCGGATAAGACTCCCATTGGAGGAACAATACTACGTGAGTATCTTGAAATCTGTACCTAGATTAAGAAAGTTGGGCTATTTTTTTGATAATGGATCCTTTACAGAATTTTGCACTGTGAGCAGGTCTGTTGAATTGATGTTGATTCATTTCCTTTCAGTGTTTAACATCCTGGTTAAGAACTTAGTGATGCTACTTCTATCATGTTAGAGAAGCAACTCTAGCCCATGCCTAGTGGACATGGTGGCATCTATCCTACCTGCCCCACAGGGCTATTGCAGTCACGAGGGAGACTTTGTCATATAGGACTGCTTTTTAAGAAATGAATTATGGTATTCTTTGTTTATCACATTAAGCAGCCATTTTACAATTTTTGAATTCATGGATTAAAAGCCATAAAATTTCAATTCAGTTCATAATATGAAAAAGATTCTGTTTAAAAGGTACTATCATATTTTTCTAACATTTTGAAGTTTGGGTTAAAGCTGACTAAGCAAAATAAGTGCTAAAGTTCATAATTACTAGTATGATGCTCTGAGCTTTGTTTTGTGTCATGATGATTTTCTTCCTCTTATCTTTACTTCTGTTTCCTTGCAGTCCATCTTGTTATTCCAGGTCTTAATGAAACCACTGTAAAACTCCCCACATCCATAATGTTTGAGATTTCAGATACAATCAAGAGACAATTAGGTAAGCAGCAAAATTCTCCATTTGAACTTTGCAGTGACTGAGTACTAACACTGATAGTCTTAGAATATCCAAGGCATCTAGCGAATTAGTTATTTGGGATTAAATTAAAAAGTAAGGGACAGGCACGTATGATGTTGATGGGAATGTAAAATGGAAACAGCATGACCGTTTCTCAAAAAATTAAAAATAGAATTACCATGTGATCCAGCAATTTCACTTCTAGGTATATAACCAAAAGAAATGAAAAAAGCTGATAGTCTTAGAATATCCAAGGCATCTAGCGAATTAGTTATTTGGGATTAAATTAAAAAGTAAGGGACAGGCACGTATGATGTTGATGGGAATGTAAAATGGAAACAGCATGACCGTTTCTCAAAAAATTAAAAATAGAATTACCATATGATCCAGCAATTCCATTTCTAGGTATATAACCAAAAGAAATGAAAAAAAATTTTCAAAGAAGTATTTGTACACCCATGTTTATAGTAGCATTATTCACAATAGCTAAAACATGAAAGCAAACCAAGTGTTCATCAAAAGATAAATGGATAAGCAAAATGTGGTATATACATATCACATTTTATTATGTAGTATATTATTCAGCCTTAAAAAGGAAGGATATTATGACATATGCTATGATACTGATGAAACCGAAGGACATTATACTAAGTTAAACAAGCCAATTACAAAAAGAAGATTACTGTACAATTCCACTTATATGAGATACCCAGAGTAGTCAAATTCATTGAGAGAGAAAGTGGAATGGTGGTAGCCAGGGACTGGAGAGAAGAGGGGAATGAGGAGTTAGTATTTAGTGGCATAGTTTCAGTTTTAAAAGATGATAAGAGTTCTGGAGATGGATGATGGTGATGGGTGTACAACGTTATGAATGTATTTAAGACTACTGAATTTTACATTTAAAAATGGTTAAGATCATAAATTTTATGTTATGAATATTTTACCACAATAAAAATAATTGGGAAAAAAAAGTAAATAGCAGAGAGTTTGGAGTGTCAAAAGTATTAAATAATATTCTATAGGGAAATAATTTTTTATATTTAAATTTTTTATATTTAAAAAAGTAAAGGACAGAGAGTTTGGAGTGTCAAAAGTATTAAATAATATTCTATAGGGAAATAATTTTTTATATTTAAATGAAATATTTACATTTATGAAAGAAGAGTGAATGAACATTTATCAAATATCCAAAATACACTTTTATAAGTATAATTTTTAAATAAAGTAATTATTGTAAATAATCACACATAATATACTATCAATGGACCACTAGGTATTTTCAGTGGGAACTGATGTAAAGGTCAGGTCTATTAGAATTATTATTTGCTTGTATTTGATACTGTTTCCTACTTCTAGAAAAAAAATCTGATATGATTTTAGTGTTTAAGAAATGTAAAACATAACAATTTGGAAAAAATAACCAAGCAACAAAACCCTTTAAAAGGAGCCCAGGGAATAATTGTGCTGGTCACTGGGCTAAGTCAGTTGCTACATTTGAGCATCAGATCAGTCTGCATTCTCTCTATAGCAGAGGATCTCAAACTTGGTGGAGCATCAGACATCTTAGAGAGCTTTTGAATACATAGACTGCTGGGCCCATCCCTAGAGTTAACTGATTCAGTAGGTCTGGGGCGGGGCCTGAGAATTTGCAGTTCTTATAGTATACTGATGTTGCTGGTCTAGGAACAATGCTTTGAGAACCACCGCTCTAAAGTCTCTGGAGAATGTCTTGGGCCATTGATAAATATGGAAGGAGATGATGGCATGATGTGGTAGAAAATGAGTAAGACAAAAATGCAGAGTATTTTCCATGAAGTAGGCACTAGCTTAGCACTTATGTGACTGAAGCTTCACATTGTATGGATGCAAAAACAGAGGCCCAAGCCTCCCGTTTGGCAGCATTCATTCAACAACTACTTAGCATTATTCTGTGCCAGAACTGCAAGTTGCTGTGGACTATAATGGTGGGTTACACAGACCCCAGGACCTGTCCATACAGAGACTTCAGATTTAATTTCTTTTCCCTTGTTGGAGACCTGACCTGCTTGCTTGTTCGATGCTAGGCAATCAGATTGTAACAGTTTTAAAAGGTAAGAACTCTTAAGTTCTCCTTAGCTGTTAATTTTGATAACTTCTGGTTAAGAAGGAGGAACAAAGCCTTAAGCGGGTAGACGAGCACTTAATAGTGAACTATTAGACCTACAATTTTAGAAAAAAAACCCACCAATCTTTGCATCACCATTTTATTAAGATGTGAAGATATTTGCCAGTAAATCTTTGTGATTTTGTGCACTCATTACATTTTTACTGTAAAATATTCATACCTGTTAATTCTAAAGTGAGTTACCTCCAAAAAATGTAGATAAATAACTCTTAGGCTTCATTTCCTTAATTTGTACATCACACTAGACCATCTTCCTTTTAGCTATAAAACCTTATGACTCAGCTCTATATCATCTATATTCTATGCTAACAGCCAGGAAACTTCCAAATTAAATTCCCTCAGTGAACCTGTGTTTGGAATCAGAGCTCAGGATTTTTGCATTTACCTATTCTCGGCCCGGAACCTATGTACTACCTTGCCCTGCACCTGGAAAACTTGTTTGGATTTGTGAAGGAGAGTGAAAATGAGCAGTTTTTTTCCCAGACCACTGCTGTCAGTTTTGAACTGGAAGGTGTTTTATTCCTCAATCTTTAGTCTTGAGTGATATTTCCTAATTTGGGGGCGGGGGGCAAGGGCAGGGTTTGCAAAGTTCTGCCAGCTACCTTAATGCCAATTCAGTCTTTCTATTTTCTTTGATTTAGAGAATTAAACAGTAAATTTTTGTTTTGTTTTGTTTTGCTTTTGTTTCCCAATATGATTCACTAAAGTTTCAGGATTGAATGTCATTTTAATGGAAAAAAAAATCTATGCAAATAATAAATAACTTTTTAAACTTGTATTCCTGGGAAAACACCTATCTTAAATTCAATAGATGGCAATTTTTTTTATGGATTAAAGACACTGATAGCCAGTAAGTTTGAAAATGTCTAGAAAATCTATCAAATGTACCATCTTAATAGACTGTGTTTAAAAATTACATTTACCATAAAGTTGGATACTTACACAGTGGGTTGCTTTGTGTTAGCACATGTAAGAGGTATCCACGTGTTCTTTCATACATTTTTATTATGTATATTTGTGATGTTGGGTCCTCTAAAGCAGGGGTCCTCAACTCCTGGGCCACATACCAATGCTAGTCTATGGCCTGTTAGAAATCAGGCACAGCAGGAGGTGAGCAACAGGTGAGCAGAGTGAAGCTTCATCTGTATTTGCAACTGCTCCCCAGTGCTAATATCACCACCTCGGCTCCACCTCAGATCATCAGGCATTCGCTTCTCGTAGGAGCACCGGTCATGGTGCCCTCTGAAAAAAAGGGCAAAAATGTTGGGGACCGCTGCTCCAAAGCATGAGCCCCAGGGCACATCTGAGAAAGGTACTGGCAAAGATCAGCACTAAGAATGGGAAATACCAAGGAAAGGAACTCCAAGAAGAGACTTAATGAAACAAAAATTTCTTTTATGGATTTGGACTTTGCTGGGGAATGTGTAATGAAAGCACCCTAATCTACCTCTCTTTAAAAATACCTAGGTGACTCCACATTATTAATGATTTGTATATATTCTGCAAATTGTTTTTTTCTCAATATTGTTTTTAAAAGTTTACCCAATTTGATGCATATTATTAACCCAAGTTCACTCATTTTAATGATCTATAATATTCTGTGGTATGACTATACTTCCATTTATTTATTTATTCCTCTGTTGATAAATGTGTATGCTGTTTCCAATTTTTTACTATTCAAAATGAATGCTAACAAAAAATTACATTTAAATTTAATGTTTTGGGTTTTTTTTAATGAAAATAGTGTGAACATAAGCAGTTCTTTATACCAGTGTGGGAGAAATAAACTTTCCTTAAGTTATTTATCACCGTAATTCAGAAAAGTCCTACTTTTTGAGGGGGTAAATTCTAAAAATAATATCCTCATTCCAGCAGAGCCAGTCATGGGATACCAAAAAATTAATAGCTTTTTTTCTAAGAACACATGGTGTGAATAATGAGAGAAATAAACAAAAAGTTAGTATTACACCCACATCTCCCAGGGTCATACAAAGGCTTTGCCAAACCCAAGACTTAGCTTGCCAAAAATTCAAGGAAGCAAGTATGTTGAAAAAAGGTACAGAAGAATCAGAGAGGAAAAGAGGAATGTCCTGGGTTTTAAGTTGTTCTGACTGTAGTTGTACATAGATAGTGCTCATGGGTTGATAGGAGACATAAAGAGTTCTCCATTCAAATATCTTCTCCATCTACCAATTTCTCTGATTCCTGAAATGCCATAGTAAGAAATACATTATGCCTTTCTAAGTAATTAGTGATGTGTAAAGAATACAAATATCTCTTGGGAAGGTAGTTTACCATTTCTTCTTTATTAACAGCTAATTTTAGAGTCATGTGATTGCCAGCTAAGGGCATGTTTAGAATATAAAGAGCTAAAGCAAAGCAACTCAGAGCATAGTATGAAAGTCTAGGCTTTGGAGGTTAAAATAAATAGATAGATAGATACTCCTAGTCATCCAGGGAAACACCAAGAACATCAGATATTCATGGGAAGGAGAGGATTAGCAAAGGTGTCCTGAAGGATAAGAGGACACTGAAAAGGGAAGAAGTATAAAATAAAAACCTTATAATCATAAAAATTTGTACTCTGAATTATTTTTTTCCTGTGCCAACAATCACAATCATTCTAAATAAAAAATGACTACAAAAAAAGGCAGGAAAAAATATCGATAAAATTTAGAAATTTCAAAACCAGAATTTTTCATAAAATTATACTAGATCTGTTTTTTTTTTTAGTTATTCCAAATAGAGTTCCTTCTCTTTATGCCCTGCTTAATTAATTTGAACAATCATATCAAACATTTCTGTTGTACAGACATGCTGTGCAACTTCATGTAAACCTGAATCCAAGACACACACTTGACTATTTAATATGGCAAGTATGTAGCACTTGTGACATCTATTTCTAGCATTTTAAATCACTCTTGAAAATAATTGGCTCTATGTAGGAATCTATTGTACGCTTCCATAATACAGATTAAAAAATCAATTGACTTTTATTAACATTATGAAAACAATGACTTTAAAATTGTCTTTGTCCATCAGAAGTAAATAAATATTTCGTGCCCATGTTAACTAAGAAGAAAGTGGCCTTTAGAACAGTGATGGGAACTACGGAAGGTTACAAAATTTGCATGCTCAGAGAACTTTGAGAGAACAGATTAGATCGATAGTTCTCAACAGAAGGCAATTTTGTCCCTCAGGGAATATTTGGTAATGTCTGGAGACATTTTTGGTTGCCACAACTATATAAGTGCTAGTGGAATCCAGTGGGTAAAGGCCAGAAGTGCTACTAAACATCCTACAGCAAAGGAAAGGCCCCCACACCAAAAATTACCCAGCCCAAAATGTCAGTAACGCCAAAGCTGAGAAACCCAAGGAGTTCCTGTACAATCTTAGGACTCTAAAAATTCCTATCTGAATTATATAATCAGTTCAAAATGACATGATCGGCGTGTCTCAAAGATGAATGAATTCTTTTATGCCACTAGATAGTTTCAGAATATTACAAGTAGGTCATCGATTCGTGTATTAACTAGCCAAATATCTTAATCATTGGGAAACTCTGGTATGAAATATATTTTCTTTGAAAAAGAATACCTAAATTTTAGAGAGAAGTTTCCTAAATAATTGTCTAAAGAAGGAAAAAAATAGAAAAATATTTGATTTTATTCTTTACACTGAATTCCCACGTGTGACCAAAAGAAAAGGTCTTTGTTAACAAGTGGCTCAAATAAATTACTGGTAGTATTTTTTTGACATAAATGTTTTCAAATAATTTAGTTTCCTGCGTGTGTTATTTGTGCTTTTCTAAAATTTCAGTGTCATAACCTATTACATATTTTACCATGCATAATAATGGAAATTGTCTATTCATTGATTTTTTTTCTTAAAATTAGGAGTACTTGAATATAAAATCCCATAGAGTATTTGCAATACAACCTATGCCTTCCAGAAACTCTATGAATCAGAACAGCTTGAGAGTCATTCAAGTATTGGCTTGTGATTTTTTTCTTCATTCCAATGCCAGCTTAGATCTTAAAGAATTACCTGGGGTTAATGAGAAGGAGTTCTGAAAACTGTCATGCACTCATCCTAATCTCTGGTAGAAATGCACAGGAGATTTGTTGACTGCTTGGTGGTAAGGGATAAGCAGAATTTCTGGAAATAGTCTGTCACTTGGTTACGTTTTGAATGAATTGTATTTGGAAACTGTGTTTTAAGGAAATGAAGCAAATTACTTGTTCTCTGACTTTTTTAGCTAAGAATGAAACCTTGGCATTACCTGCTGAATCTAAAACACCAAAGGTAGAAAAAATTCCAGCACAGCCTATAACAGGTAATGACATCCCTATGTTGTTGGCTTTGAGAGAATAAGTAATATATGTTTTCAAAAAGTAAATAATTAACAAGCCTGTACTTGTTTCAGTGAAGAGCCAGTAGGAAATTTATTTTGATCAGAAGCACAAAACGATAGGAGAGTCTATGTTCTTAATCTAATGTTTGAAAAAAAAACCAAACAGATGCAAAATGAACTATTGACTCATATAACATCTGATGTGTAATATGGAAGCTGTATTTTTCACTCTAAATAAAAGTTGTTACTTCAGTGTTCTGAAATATTTTTACACTAAAATGTGATACCTGGTTTTGGTGCTTTCCTTTTATATGAAGACAGACTGCTTTCTCTTCACGTTACAAGTGGCCAGTTTAATAAAATGTCATTATCCTTCACAGATCCATAGCTTGAGATCTATGAAAGTACAGTGGAATTGTTTAGCAGCAATATCTCTGGAAGATCAACAATAGTAGTCTAGAGAATATGTAATAGCTTGGTAAAAATCCTTTAAAGAATAAATGTGGTATGCATTTTCCCCACAGTTTATCAGCTGTTACTAACAAACATTCAGCATTTCTTCTATGAATGAACTGCCCAAGTCCAGCTCACTGGGAACATATTATCTCTGAACTGTAGTCTTCGCCAGAGCAGTACTACCTCATCTAGGCCTCAGTGAAATAAATGTCTGGCAAGAACTCCCCCAAGTCCACATTTAGCAAAGTAACTCCAACCTAAAGTGAATTTTTAAATCCATAAAATTGCTATAAATTGTAACATTAGTGATACTGTCCATGCATTAAACTCTTTGACTGATAACTGGTCCAGAGAAGATAAAGTCTGGTGAGGAAATATAATAACTTAATTTCAAGAAACCTCTTCAGGTAGAGATATTTTTAATAGAGTAAGAAGACCTTCCATTCCTCACCTTCTTGGGAGTTGAGGCAGAGGGAGAAGCTATTCCAGATGCTGAAATAATCTATTTGAATGAAATTCCTAGGTAGTTTTATGATTTCAATATAATTATTCAGTACTTAAAAAAAAATAGTCATGGCCCAGTGGATGCCTCCAAGTTCTTTTCTGCCCAAAGATTCAACCCAATTATACTTTCCCTAATTCCACTTTCTTCTCTTGGCACAGTATCTTATGGGAGAGTCTACAGATTTCTTAGTTCTCTGCCAATCCTTCCTCAGAATTTTCCACTTCAGAAACACTTAGTCAAACAGTGTTATTGTGTTATCATGTGTCCTTACCCTGCAAAATTCTGAAATTGTCTAGCTCACAATTCATTCCAGATCTCAGTGATCCTGGTTTATTTCTTCAAAACTATTTATTCGAGGTGATCATTGCCTTTGATCTAGCTTTTGGACCAGACTTGTGCCTAAGCATTTGAATTGTTATCATAACTTGAACCCAGTTCCAACTTTTGCATGTTGACTGTAGTTTGAAAGAGAGAAATCTCATAATGTAATAGTTCTAAATAAACCTTTTGCCCTGGGTTATTCTTTTATTTGCTCATTAATTAATTCATTTAATAAACATTTATCATGTGCTTGCTTTACTATACCCCAGACATTACGTTAAGCTCTGAAGATAAAGAGAAAGAAAAGGGCAGACAAATAAAAAATTAGGATTAATCTGATAAGTGCTTTCATGGAGGTCAGTTCAGTGTGCTTTTTGGCTAGATGAATGTCAGCTCAAGCACCTGGGGCAAGCCAGGGAGTCCTTAACATACATAACTTTAAACATGATGAGCTATCTAAGTGTCAGTTACTAATTCTAAAGGGCAACAAATATCTTATGATCTTTGGTTGCTTCATCATTTTATCTTAATTAAAATAAAGTTGTCTTTTTTACCTTCCAGTGACTCCTGAATCAGTTCCAAGAACCACTAAACCCACTGTGTCTAGTGTGTTAGACATTTCAGAAAGAAAACTGGGTAATTCTAAGAACTTTTTTTCTAAAACAAACCAAAAAAAATCTCCCAACACTCATAGAAATAAAAAGTAACCCAGTACCTTAGCTTTCCCCCCCATCTCTCCTCTCCTTACTGGCAGTAGTTAATCTTCCAATTTCTTGGACTAGTTCCATTAAAGAGTTAACAACATGCCTTGATCCTGGTGATGGATATTCTAGGTAGCTCTGGATGCTAGATGCTAACTACACATCCTTTTAACCAGTCTCTTAGGATGTATAGAAAAACAGAATGCCAGCCTTTTAACACATAAAGCTAAGGGGTGGGGGGAAATCTGGAAGTCTTGATTATGTCTGTGCTTTCTGTTTTGATTGGTTTTTCCAAGTCTTGTGTGTACTAAACTTGAGGACAATCCCTAAAATGTCATGCTTTCTAATAAGAATTTCATGTCATGCATGTTAGCTGCTTCTTGGCCCAAGAGAACACAACTTGCTTTGTTCTCTTCTCCTGAAGAAATGGAGCCCTATGTATTTTGTTCTGTACTTGTGATATTGATCTTCCATGTCACACCGAGGCACTTCGAAAGCATACCTTCAATTTTTAACCACTATGTAAAACTTTTCCAGGGAAAGCCAGCTATTTCCATCAAAGACATTAGCTGCCCAGTACACATTCTGTTATGAGCATGTGTCACATGGTCATGGTTAAGCCACAACATCAAATTGTGATTTATGCAGTTGCTAACTATTGAATTCTTCTTTGTTGTTGTTCTCAGTGAAAGGACCCTGGAAACACTGCAAACTATTCTAATACCTAGGTTTTAATGGCCACTGAGCACTCTAGGTAAAATTATTAAAAACTGCAGCTTTTTATTACCTTGGAAATATTATGTATGCTTGAAAGGAGTCCTGAGGCTAATTCATTCAAATTTATCTCCTCACAGGAAAGAAGGGACAAATGTCTTATAAAACAATAAATTCCCCAACACCAAGTTTTTAAACGTTACAAAATCTTTATTTTATAATTTAGGATCCTAAAAGTTTCTCTATGACAAATCTTTAGTTGTTTTCCTTTTTGGTGGTCATATTTTGATGTTATTTTTGATTCTTTTAATTCAAAATTATTTTGTCCCTGAATACTTTTCCATATTTTTCTCTGAATATCTCTTTGTTTCTTTTCACATAAAAGACATTTATAATATTTATGCAGACTGCTTCTTAGAATTTCTTTATGAGTATAATATCAAAAAAGTTGTTAGATAGGAAGCAGGAGCTTAAATATAAAGCCATGTGGTTCCTGAAATTCTATTTTTAAAAGCTATAAGATGGACATTTTCTAGTTCAGATGTGTTTGGTGCTTGGCTTGAGTTTAAATAAAATGTATCTACGTGCACACATACACATAGATGAAGAAATTAGGAAACTAATTTAATGAAGGTGAAAAGAAGAGCTCAAATTCCTCAGATATCGTGGCTTGATTATAAAAAATATAACAAGAAGCTTTATTATATTATCAAGCATTGAAACACAGGAGTAAGAAATACTACTAACAGTGCCTTACTTAACATGAGTAATTTGCCTTTTTGTGTTTTTTGTTTTAGCAAGCTTGTGATTTTAAAAATCTTTCTCTGTTACTTGTACCTCAAGTCATAATATTTCTTATGTTTCATTACAGCTCCGAAAAGACTTCCAGAATTTCCTCAGGCAAAAACACCTTTCCCTTTTGAGAAACCTGGGGGCACCTTGGGTAATAACAGAACCTGAAATCTGGTGTTAAGATATGGATGGTGATTGCTTAATTCTAGAGGACACATTTACTGGGTCCTATCTCTGCAAACCTCAGTGAACTCATGAATTCCATTAATTTGGCCAAACAAGTGGTTGATTTTGTTAAAAAAAAAATACACACACATACACACACACACACACACACACAGACACACACACACACGTATATATATATGTCTGATTGGATTATTTTTTTAAATTTAGTATCATCAGCCCGTTAATTCCATATAGCCCATTAAGTTTGTTTTCTGTCCTCAAATATGTTGAGAGTATGATGCCAAACTCTGGTCTCTCTCTAGTTACTAATCAAATGGTCTTGGGATGGGTACATATTGATTTCTTCTTGAGATATGATGGCTTTTGATTGGATCAGTATGCACATTTTATTACAGGCTTTTTGTAGCCACTTAACCATACCAGCAACCTATTTCTGTCTTTTTTTCCTCTCCAAAAAAATCTTCAGCAAATTCCATTTCTTTTGCTGTAGCTTCAAGTGAAAAGCCATGGATTTTACCTACAGCTAAAATGTCAGAAGATTCCAAAGTTCTACCACCTCAAACTGGTAATGGCATTCTTTTTAAAAATAGATGGGAACAACAGTATTCAATAACTTCTTGTTTTTATTTTTATAGGTTCCTTAGTTGATTATCACAAAAATAAAATGATTTTGAATTTGTTTTAAAGATTTATGTTTTAGTGTCTGGACATATAAGTAGAAATTTGGCTAGAAGATGAACTATGAATTGGCTCACTGATTTTTCTAGAGATCTCTTTAGTGTCATGAAAGCAGTAGCAAAAATAAGAATCATCATGGGTCTGCCTTAACAGTGAATTTAATGTTTCTCTCGCCGGTAGATATTTGCTTATTTTTTCAGAAATGAACATTTGAGAGCTTATTATATTCAAGATATTATTACTAAGTCCTAAAATCTATGAGCACATTGTGATATAGAGGGAAGACTACAGGTCTTGGCAATAATAATAGACTTTAGCTCCAATGCTGGCTTTCCTACTAACCATATACTTTTGCTATTTTTCTCTACTTTTCTGGGTCTTAGTTTGCTCTTTTGTAAGTTGCAGTGATTGGTTTTTTTCTCCTGAGAATTCTTGTGTTCCACCACTGAAACTGATTAAGGGAGATAGATTCCCTTTTTTAAAAATAAATTTTTCTCAAAAAATGTTTTCTCCTATACATCTTTTCTTTGATGTCTAGCAATCAACTAAAGGAAATAGTCAACATAGGAAAATTATAAGAAAACCTCAGGCACACTTCGTGTGATTACTTTCATGATTTTTGTTTTATCTGTTTGTATTTTAATTTTTTGTGTACCTTTTAGTTGTGATTTTTTTGAGCACCTATAATATAGTATATAATGTAGTTTATGTAATGAAGTTAAATATACCATTTTGTGGAATTCTTCAGCAAGCGTTCCAACAGAGGACTGATTTGAGAAAGAATAAGAATGAGCCTTCTGATACATAGATCTTAGTCAAATTATTCTTTCTCTGTTACACGTAATTGGCTCAGATCTCAAAAAAAAAGATGAAGGATGGTATCAAATGAAGTAAGCATGTCTAATATAGTCTCCCCTAGTTTTCTCAAGTGACATTGAAAGTTTGCTATGGTTGTCAGCCTATCCAAGAGAAGCCTCAAATTGGCTCTTTCTAAGCCTTGGTTCCCCTAGTCACTGACCCTGAAACTCTAGTGCAATTACTTAATGTGGGTGCAAAAATACCCTTAGCAATCCAGGTCTCCTGAGTCAAAAATTCAGGTTCTAGGTAGAGTTTCATACTGAGCCTCTAGTTCCATTAGCTATTATATAGGCAGAGCTGCACTGTGACTATGGAACAACAACTAGTCTGTGGCCATGTGTGATAGTTTATCTGCTGCACTAAGGCAGGCCTGGCCTGATTCCAACATCCTTCATGAGCATCACATCTCCCAAACCAAACACTTTTGGTGCCCACTGGACTAGATGAACTCTTAGGCCCCTTTCATCTCTTAGTTTTTGGATTATAACATAGGGGACATAGAGTCCCCCAGGTTTCCCTTGAGCAGCCTCCAGTTTTTGTTTTTGTTTTTGTTTTTTGTTTTTTGTTTGTTTTTGCCTACTATTATTCAGGAACAAACTGACCAAAACCTCAAGGAAACTATATATAATTTTATATAATTTATATATAATTCTATGATTTACATAATTTAATTTATATAATTTTATATATAAAGCCTGAATTGAACCAAACATTAGGGAGTGGGGAGAATATGTTGGGAATTAATGGTTATTGAGTTACAAAGACACAAAGATAGATGAGATAAGAAATCCCAATAAAGGCAGGGTTCCTTTTGCCTTTAATTGTAGAAAAGGAATATTCTAGTTTTTCCCTGTTGGAGTATACATAGTGGCTAATGCAGCAGGAAGCAGTTTTGTGCAGCTATGTCACTACTGCCAGGGCAACCTTAGACTGCCAGAGAACCTCCAACAGTCACTGCCAGCCTTCTCTGTATGAAGTGTTAGGGCTTGTCATGGGCTGTACAAGTCCTGTAGGTGATGATCGCAGGCATGAATATTAGCCCCCAGAAACTTCCTAGCCTGCCTTTACAACATTTAAATTTGATACTTCTGCTATTTAGTATAATCCTTGGACGAGCACCATTGATATCACTGGGGAGTTGGTTAAAAAGGCAAAATCTGGAGCTCTGCTCCAGATCTATTGAGTGAGGACTTGCTTTTTGACAAGATTTCCAGGCAATTTGTATGAACATTAAAGTTTGAGAAGCAGTACATTAGCACTGTAGTCTGTAATATTTCTCATGGTGCGGATAAGAATCATCAAATGTGATTAATTATCGGACAAGAGGCCTCAAGTCAATATAAGATTGGTTTCTCAGAGTAGATGATTAAGTTTCAATTGTCTCTGCAAATACACACAATGCTTACACATAATTCTTATGCAAGAGTTCTGTGGTATCTTCCTAACATGTTAAACTTCAAATTAAAATTTATCAAATGCATTATTTGTGATTTTAAGAGTTGATATATTCATGCCATCCTTTCATTCATTTCAGCCTTTTGTGGTTCTTGTGATTAATTTTGTGTGAATTTATATATGTACTAAGTTTCAGTGCATATAACTATTTTATTTTCCAGTTACTCACATAGCTTTCTAATGTAATTGCTTTGAGAATTAAGAAGAGAAAGAGATAGAGCTAGTACTTGAATGCTGGTTCATAAAACCATTGGTCTCATTTTCAGTCATTATATCCTTTGAAGAAATGATATATTTTAGCTAGTATTAATGACAGTATTATAGCAAAATTAACATTTTGTTTTCTCTGTCATGAAACAATACATCTATATTTACTATGTCAATGCCCTCAGTTAAAGACCACCAGGAAAGTACGTGTATTTGAATAAAGTGAGGTTTATTTACTCATTGCAACAATGCAGAATGGATGCCATGATAACTGTGGGATCTCATAGTAACAAGGTATTGGAAAAGACATATTGCAAAATTTGGTATTGTGTTAGCTGATTCTGGGGAGGGTCCAAAGAAGTGAAACTTTGCTCTGGATTGAATGCTGTGTGAAAGTGGGAGTAATTCTGTGATTGAATGTCTTAATTCAATCAAGGAAAGCAAGAAGAATAAAGCTAAAATTATAATTGGTAAAGAAGCAGCAGTTAGTCATATTAGCCAGAATGCGGGAACAGTCATTTTTGAGCTTATGTATTTGTCTGTTTTCCACACAATAATAGAGTGCTCTTGGTTTTGTCTCAATCCATCTTGGTCACTGTGTGGTCTTGTCTGATGTTGGTGTCCGTTCAAATTGTTGCTGTTCAGCATGAGAACCTCAAGCTGAGCTGTGGGTGCTAGACAAGCACTGGACGCCAGGGGCTGCTTTTCCCTATCAACCATTAAACGTGAATTATTAATATCTTTTGTAAAATTAATTTGCTTCAGTATTTACTGGATTCGTTTTCTGCACTTACTTAATATTTTGTACCAAATCATCAGAATGCATGCTCTCAAAAGGACTTCTGTATTACTTTTGGATAAAAAAAAAAAAACCATGTGAAAATTCTACCCTGCATGCTGACTGTTGAAATCCCTGGGTCATTTCAATAGTTTATGACAAAAGTGGGACAGGGTATTTAGGATTTGGAATATTCCAGGAAATTTGAGAAGTATAGTCATCAAACATATTCTTCCCCACTTTCAGCCTATTTGCCCTAATATTTCATTAATGCTACATTTTGTGATCTCATTATTTGGAATTGTATTTTGTATTAAAATACAAAATTTAAGTACATTTAAGTAGGATTGATTACTTTCGATTCCCTTGGCCAATCCAATTCTTTCTAAAGTATAGAAAGGAAATTATAAAAATCTGCTCTGTAATTACATGCCAGGATGCAAACTTATAAAGTCTGTATTAAAAGAAAGCTGGCTATAGTTTAGAAATACTTTAGTGCTTGTGATAGTCATTCAGAAAAGCCAGTCTTTCTGATGATGCAGTGGAATTGGTCTTACGTTCTATTGGAAGGTGGCCAGTTGACTATGATTTCTATGCTATTATGGACTAAGTTCTAGAAAAGCTCAGTACCTTCAAACTGTGCCCCTCTCCCCACCAAATTGTGCATTTGCACATATATGCACATACTTTCTGGATTACTTCTTCACCGAAATCATATAATTTTGTATTTACATAGCAGTTTTCTATTAAGAAATTCAAAGGCTTGTGTTTTTATCATCACATTGATCCTCCAGGAATCCGTGGAACCAAAGAGTTATTTTCTTTTATCTCAAGGAGGTATATAAGAGGCTTGCCTCTGAGTAGGCAGAAGAGCAAAAACTAGATCCTCATTCATTTCTTTCTAAATCTCCGACAAACCACTTCACGTTAAAAATGAAACAATGTCACATAGCTTGCTTTGAATTTTCACAGAATAGCGCAACAGGGTAACCTAAATGTTCTTATTAGAGCAAGGTGCTTTCTAGATTTTTAAGAAATATCAAGTAGACTGTGAGAAAGACTGGCCAGTCCCTGAAGTTATTCTCATCGTGACTGATCATTAATCTATGAGCTATAGAATGAGACCAAGCTGGGTTAGTAAGCAGTTCAGCTATTTACCATTTGTGTGGCTGTAGACAAGTGATTTAATCTTTTAAATCTGTTTCCCCTTCTATTAAATGGAAGTAATATATAAATTTTTTTTCACTGAGTTGTTATATCTTAGAAATAATATATAAATCACTTAATCTAATTCACAGTACATAAAGGGTACCCTGTTATCATTTTCTTAGCACAGTGAACTCTTGCACTGAATGTACCCCCTTCTCACCATACTGCCCATTCCAAACTTCCTGAATGCTACAGACACTTAATAACAATAAATTATTTAGTTAATAGAAAGAAGGAAGAGATCATGAAAAACAACTCTAAACTTCTATATTTTGAGCATGCCAATGATTCTTGGGTCTTCATTTCTCTTACATAAAAATTTTTGAGGAGAATGGAAAGGACATGTGCTGTGTTATTTGAAGAGGCTCTGCAACTCCATG